ATATTTGCCTTAAATAATTTTATAGCTTCTGTTTGCAAGGCCTCTGAGGGGAGAGTTGTAAGAGGAGAAGTAATCCCATCTTTGCTGTGACAGAGAGTTGGATGTCTCCAGATTTGAGAAGCTGAAGGGGACGGAAAAAAAAAGAGTCATTCATGTGAAGCAGTAGACGTAGCATGATTTTGTACTAACCTATCTATCTTTTTAAAACAACCACCTTCCTATCTTTGATATTTCTTCAGATATTTAAAGATAGTCAACATACCACTTCTTGGTGATATGGTTTTCGAACCTCTGACCATCTTGTTTTGGCTACTGGAAAGAATGTCTATAGCTTGAACACTGGAATGCATTGCCTCAGACAGTAGTGAGCTCTCCTTTGGAGTTCTTTAAACAGAGGAATCCAACCATCTTTCAAGAAAGCCATACAACTGGGATTGGGGGCATAGCCCCTTGCAAAAATGGAAAAATGGAAAAACTGTGAATTTTTTAAAACACACTTTTTAAAACCTTTTTGTTGCTTTTTTTTTTTTTACCAGGGAGAGCACCTCTCTAGGGAATCACAGTCCTCCAGTGCAACTATATGGTCAACTTCCTCCAGAAGTTGGCCATGGAGTTATCCTTTAGGATTTAGAGATTCTTTAAGATAATCTATTATTTAAATCTGTGAATAATCAAAATTCCAAAAGTTAAACTGCAAATTTTGCTGAATGTATATTCCTGCATGACAAGAGTTGGACTAAATAGCCCTTGTGATCCCTTTCCTACTTTGAGATTCAATACTTCTATGATTCTATTGATCAGGGTACTATATTACAGTTGATACTGGCAAGAATGGCATTGGCTTTTTTGGCTGTCATATCACACTGTGGATTCTTCATGTTCAGCTTGTGGACAATCCAAGATCTCCAGATCCTTTTCATATGTACCTTATACTGTTCCTTCAAGCCAAATGTCATCTTATACAAGTTCATTTCATTCTTGCTGCCCAAATGGCATACCTTACATTTATCACGACTGAAATTCATTTGAACCCACTCTCCAATCTCACAAGACCATTATGAATTCTATTATTATTATTATTATTATTATTATGTGAAACACAACAAGATGAGTCCACAGCAGACAAGATCAATCTGCTGGCTGTTGTATTGGATCACACGTCAGACATCATAATCATCATCATTATTATTATTATTGGAGCCCCAGGTGATGCAATGGGTTAAAACCTTGTGCCAGCAGGACTAAAGACCAACAGGTTGGAGGTTTGAATCCAGGGATGGTGCGAATGAGCTTCCTCTGTCAGCTCTAACTCCCCACGCAGGGACATGAGAGAAGCCTCCCACAAGGATGGTAAAACATCAAAAAACATCCAGGTGCCCCTGGGCAACATCTTTGCGGACGGCCAATTCCCTCACATCAGAAGCAACTTGCAGTTTCTCAAATTGCTCCTGACACACACACAGAATATTATGTTTATTTATATCCCACTTTTTCTCTCCACAAGGAGACTCAAAGCAGCTTACATTAAGAACATTTCAATACAATTTAAAATCTAAAAATATACAAACATTAAAACAGAATTAAATATAAATGGTATTTTAAAAATCAGTTATAATCTATAAAAAACATAATTAAAGCTAAAAACCACAGCACCCCTGACTTGATCTTAAAACCCTTCTTCTTTAAAAGCCTTCCTAAATAAAAAGGTTTTAGTCAGCCACCAGAAGGCCAGCAAGGAGGGGACCATTCTGGCTTCCCTGGGCAGGGAGTTCCAGAGTCGAGGGGCAGCCGCTGAGAAGGCTCGCTCTCTCGTTGCCACCGACCGAGCTTGAGATGGAGATGGGACCAAGAGAAGGGCCTCTCCTGAAGATGTCAGATCATAATGTTGAAAAGCATAAGGGCCAATTATCTTGAAAATATATTTTCAGTTTTGCCAATCAAATGCTCATATAAACAGGATGCTGTAGATTGCAATAAAATATATTGACTTACTAGAGTCCCCTTCAATGTTTAACAGTTTGCAGACAAGCTGCTCAAACTCTGTCCCAACATTTATATTTGTGCTCCCAGCAGCAACTGTCAGGTGATAGAGCCAAGTATCCTTGAAAATAAAACATGATAATTTCATTCTAACTTTCATTAATTAACAGGAAAANAAAAAGTTATCTTAATAAAAAAAAACCTACACATATAGCTGTAAGTTAATTACTTCTAAACAAAAAAACCTCTTAGCATCTCCATTTTCCTCTATGTCCAGTAGAGACTTACATATATGAAATACCATGAGATAGTACGGCAGTTTTAAAAGCATAAACAAATTCTAACATGAAAAGAAACTAAAATTCACCAGAATAATATAAATTGAAAAATCACATGACATGTTAACCCACAAATATAAGCACTTTTTACCTTTTTACCCATACCTTAAATGAAATGCTTGATTTCAAGTGTCATCTTCATTAAAAAAATGTCTCAAAACTGATATATTTCAAATTGTTGTATTTAATGCTGCTTGCCAGAGTTCATACATCCCACAAAACTATGAATGCACATTTTCAAATGCCATGTAGCCATGCCAGAGGAAGAGGAAGTTCGCTGTAACTAGTTATCCCAATAAGCCCTTTACCATTTAGTTTTCCTTTCAGTTTACTGAAAGTAAATTATCACATTTGTCTAATGTTGCAAGAGCTCCCTACCTTCTCGTGCTTGGATCCTATAAGCAGATAAGTGGGGCCTTGTTCTTTAGGATGGGTGACAATAGTATAATGTGTTGATAATAAACTACGACCACTGGCTTCATAATCTTCATCTGAATCACAGGACCGGTCAACTTCTTCAACTTTAGCCTCCCAAAGTTTTATCTGGCCCAAAGGAAACTAGAGGTAAAAAAATAAATAAAATCAAAGATGAAACACACAGAAAAGCTGACAACACTTTTGAAAGTTAGTTACCATGATTTGGCATGAAGGATTAATTCAGGCAGCTGGCTGTATTAAAAATGTGTATTAAAACTGTCTGAATTCATCTCTCAAAACAAATAAATTAAATTAACTTTCAAACAGGGATGATCATCATTACCTTATTTTAACATATGGAACAGGATCAACAACGATTAATCTCTTTCATAAGGTGAATCGGAATAACATGTCTCAGTTGCCCACAGCTAAAATTCTGACATTGTATTTGAACTATATTTAATGAATGTAATGCAAGGTTGCTTCAAGGAATGAAAAATGACAACGTAACTAAGTAGTAAGAGCCACATGGCGCCAAAATTGTGATACAGGTGATAAAATAAAATATATAACGTGATTGCTATCATACTCTCTTCTCCTGTTCTATTTTAGTCAATGCAATGGAATTTTAGTGCGAAATCTCATCTTGTTTTATCAGATGTTACAACTGAATGAGACAGATATAAGTGCCCACTCCCCAACATCAGATGTACTTCTACCACAAGCTTGATCTCTAATCATAAAAGACCAATGCATTTTTTAAAAGGGTATGCTGAATATATATATTTGATAGTATTATTTATGACTTGTATATATTTCCTTACATCTAATGACCTCAAGGTACTTCTCATTTATATTTGATCCTCATAACTCTGTGATGTACGTAAAGCCAAATGAAAATACTACTACTACTACTTATAACAACAACAACAA